TCGCAGAAATTCAATTATTTTCAAAAATTTATAAAAATTCTCGTTTAAATTTCAATTGTCTTTATAAATAATAAAATTCTCCGGAATTCAATTATTTTCAAAATTTTTAATAAAATGCTACACAAACATTCAATTATTTTCATAAATATGTAATAACATTCTTTAGAAGGATTCAATTACTTTAAAAAATAGTAAAATTCTTTGCACAAATTCAATTAGTATCATAATACATTTTAATAAAATTGAATTAATCAAATTTTCAATTATAATTATGAAAAGACAAAATTATTTTTAAAAATTGAAAGAATTCTTAGTTTAATTCAATTATTTTCCAAATTTTTAATTAAAATTATTAAAAAAAACATTATTTTCAAGAAATTTAAAGAAAGTATTCAAAAAAAAATTTAATTATTCATAAAAACTGTAATAAAAATTAAAGCCATTTGTAGATTTAATATTATGTTCGAAATCAAATAAATTTAAAATTGATGAAAAAAATAATAAGTAAATAATAAATAAATACTTAAAAATTTGCTTAGAAAAATATTTTTTTTCTAAATCGTTAATCATAAACGTTTCAAGAGCAAAAAATTTTCATGATGATAATTTTTGTTAACAAAATTAAAAAAAGTAAATAGGAAAGATTTAGAGAAAAAATTAATGGGGGTAAATGATGTTTGCAAAATTATTTACACAGCATCCTTCATCTAAAATCGTCGTTGGGGAAATTTTGATTAAACTTCATATATATATATGTATATAGTGAATGTATTGTTTATTGAAAATGTTCTATGTCGCTTTCCCTATATTACAATCGCGATAACGACAGTGTAATTCCATATAACATACCACTGCGGAAGCTATAATTTCTAGGTAACATATATCTCCTCTGATTTTAGAGGAAATTGTATTTGCTGTGTATTTATTTTATTAACAATAATTAATTTCTATTTGTTATTTTCATTGCTAAATAGAGGAATGGAGGGGGGGGGGTGAAAATTTACACTTGTTTTGTTAGTACACTGTTATTCAATGTTGACAATTGTTTTAAAGCTACGACATGACAAATATATTTTGTTTAATTGTTTGTCTTGAATGCTTTATTAATTTTAACAGAAATTCAAAATTAGTTTGCTACTATTATTTTTCTTCTTTTTTTTCTTTCTTTCTCTTCATTTTTCTTCTTTATGCTTTCTTTTTTTTTTCTTTAACCGTTTATGTTTTTAACGATTTTTATAAATATTGGAAAAAAATTTCCTTCATATTTGAAAGTTCAAAATTTTTTCAATTTTTATTTTTAACTAATTTTTGTTATATACTATTATAAAAATTCTATAATTCTATTCTGACAATTATGTAACGATTCTGTAACATTTGATAAAAAAGCACAGTTTCGAAGCATATTTGTGAACAAAATTGAATAAATATAATATTAACGTTCATAATAACAATATAAAACAGTAATAAGAACCCTCCCCCCCAAAAAAATAATAAAAATAATAGTAATTAACAATAAAAATAGTGATAGTGATAGTGATAGCGATAGTGATATAAATAGTAATTAACAATAAAAATAGTGATAATAATAATAAAATAATAAAAAAGATCGCAATAATAATTGTAATAATTTTGCCTAAGTAGGTGCACAGAACATATAGTAATATTAAAGAAAAATAAAATGCGTAACACTAAAAATTGTTTTCAATGTGCCTTTAAAATAATTTTGTAGCTGAGGGGTGCTCTTGAAACTCAATTGAACGATCTCAAAGCGGGGTCGAATTGTAGAATTATATTCTTTGCGTGCTCGAAGAATTCCATTATCACTAAAGTGTCTTTCCATGAAATAAAAAAAAGAAGAAAAAAAAAAGAAAAAATAAAATGGAAAAAAATAATCGAAAGGAAAAGAGGACTAGGTGGAGTGAAGCGAAAAATTTCAAATCAGGGCTTTTAGAATGAATGGTTGCACCTATTGTTACGAATTTCCGTTAAATCTATTTCGTGCAGTTATGCGGGAGAGGGGAAGGGAAGTTAAGAATTCCGCGGTTCTACAAGTTTTTATCCTAATTTAAGGAAAAAAAGTTTTTATACGTTAATGAATTTTGCTAATTTTGCTATAATTCCGCCGCTGTTATTAATTATAAAAAAATAATAAATTAAAATTAATAAATTAAAAAAATAAATTAAAAGAATAAATTTTAAAAATTTTAGGCTTTTAATTTAAATACCTATGCAGAAGATAAACAATATTTGCGTAGGTATTTAAATTGAAAATCTACGCGAAAGATTATTTCTATTAATTACTACGCCAAAGATTGTTTCTCTTTTTTGTTGAAAATATTCTTTTTTTTTGCATTTGGGATACAAATATGTATATAAATGTGTTTTGGCGCAAATAGAAATAAAAGAAGAATAGTGGGGATTTTTGTTAGTGAAAATAAATATAATAAATAGCAGTTGTTTTACGATCCATAAGAATTTAAAAGCTGCAAAACGAGAATTCATAACTTTAAATTCGCTGACGACCGCTCTTGGTATCCGTTTGAGTTTCGTGGGGAACACAGCTTGCATCACCATGAAATTTCGCGTTTACATGATCGATGGAAGTCGATTTGAATTCTATTTGAATTTTGAAGAGTGCTTGGCTAGTTTCACGATTGCCTTTCGCGATATATGCTTTTGTGTATTGATTTTTCAAAATGTTTCTTCCTTCTAAATAATCTAATTGTTTAAATTATATAGATTAGTGAGAGATTAGACACTGTAAGAAAAATTAATATCAATTTTTAATGAATTTTAAATTTTAAATAGGAATTTCAAGAACAACTGATTACAGAAAGTCAATTATTTTCAAAATTGATAAACTTCTTCGCTTAAATTCAATTACGTTCAAAAAATTTTTTAAATTCTCGTCAAAATTTCAATTATCTTTATAAATAATAAAATTCTTCTCTCAAATTTAATTATTTTCAAAAAATTTAATAAAATTCTTGTCAAAACTTCAATTATTATCAAAAATTTTCCTTCTTTCCTAATATTTTTAATACCTCTTATTTTAATAAATTTTTCCAAAAATTGAATTATTTAAACAAAATTTTAATAAAAATTTCACAGGAATTCAAATACTTACAATTTTTTTTATAAATTTCTTCGCACCCATTCAATTATTTTGAAAAATTTAAATAAAAATTCTATTATTTAAAAAAATTTTGACAAAATTCCTTACAAGATTTAGTTAATAAAATTGCAATTTTAATAAAAATTTTTTATACAATTCAATTATTTTCAATGCAATTCTTCTTGAGAATTCAATTATTTTCACAAATAATACATTTTTTTATGGAAATTCAATTATTTAAAAAAATTTTGATAAAATACTTTACAAATTTTTGAAAAATTATTATAAAATTGGTCGTAGAATACAATTATTTTCGTAAAATATACAACACTCTTCCTAGGATTACAATTATTGTCAAAAATGTTTGTAAAAATCATTGAAACAATTCAATTATTTTTGTAAAAAATAAAATTCTTCGAAACAATTTAATTATTTAAGAAATTTTAATAAAATTCTTCCCAAGAATTCAATTCTTTTTGAAAATAAAATTTTTCAAAGAAATTCAATTATTTAAAAAAAAATTTTAATAAAATTCCTCGTTAGATTTCAATTATTTTCAATTTTTCAATAAAATTTCTCGATGTAATATAATTATTTTCAAATAGTTTTTAAAAAAATTCTGAGAAATTCAATTATTTGAAAAAAAATTTAATAAAATTCTTCATTAGATTTCAATTATTTTCAATTTTTTAATGGAATTTCTGGATGTAATTTAATTATTATCAAAAAGTTTTTTAAAAAAATTTAAATAATAAATTCTTCGTTAGATTTCAATTATTTTCAATTTTTTAATGAAATTTCTCGATGTAATTTATGTATTTTCAAATAGTTTTTAAAAAATTCTGAGAAATTCAATTATTTAAAAAAAAATTAATAAAATTCTTCGTTAGATTTCAGGGGCCGTTCAAAAAATACGTAACGCTATTTTTCGGAAATTTGGACCCCCCCCTCCCCCATGTAACGCAATGTTGTATACATTAACGCCATTTTTTCTGCTGACCGTAACAAACAGCTTAACTTCCCCCTCCCCCCTAAAGCGTTACGTATTTTTTGAACGGCCCCTCAATTATTTTCAATTTTTTAATGAAATTTCTCGATGTAATTTAATTATTTTCAAAAAGTTTTTTAAAAAAATTTGAATAATAAATTCTTCGTTAGATTTCAATTATTTTCAATTTTTTAATGAAATTTCTCGATGTAATTTAATTATTTTCAAATAGTTTTTAAAAAATTCTGAGAAATTCAATTATTTAAAAAAAATTTAATAAAATTTTTCGTTAGATTTCTGCAATTATTTTCAATTTTTTAATGAAATTTCTCGATGTAATTTAATTATTTTCAACAAGTTTTTAAAAAAATTCTGAGAAATTCAATTATTTAAAAAAATTTGAATAAAATTCTTCACAAAAAATTACTTGTTTTCATAAATTATAATATTTTTCTCCGGAATTCAATTCTTAAAAAAAAAATTTGTAATAAAATTCGTTTGCAAAAATTCAATTATTTTCATAAATAACAAAACTTATCGCAGAATTGAAATTATTTTTTATACAATTTTAAATAAACTTGTAGAAAATGGCATTTATTCTTAAAATTACTTTTTAAATTCGCTGAAAGAATTTAATTATTTTTAAAAATTTTGATAAAATTCTTCATAAAAATTCAATTTTAAGAAATATTCAATTATTTAATAAATTATTTATTTTTCTATTTAAATAATTGAATTCTCGAAAAATTTTCTAATAAAAATTGATTAAAAAATGAATTTGACTTAAAAGTGAAAATTTTGACTGGAAATCAGGGAAAATTTAGGGAAAAACAAAATTAAATTTTTCTGGCAACCCTGTAATTATTATATTAATTATATTAATAATTATGTTAACAGATGTCCAGTGACACATGGCTTCGATGTCATTCTGCCTTGATGCCGTTGACTTTACTGTCTCTTCTCTTGCTTTTGGGAATTCATCTTCCGTTCGTTGTGGCTCAATGCGGACCCTCAGCGCAAGAAAAGCAAGACAGACAAAATAAGCTGGCCCTCTATAAAGTCACCCTGAAGACATACTGGTCGAGAGCACGATTCCCCAGGCACTATCCAGATTGGAAACCTCCTGCTCAGTTCGGCAAACTTGTTGGTAAGTCAGAAAAAAAATATTATACTCGAAAAAAAATATATTCCTCTTTTTAAGAGAATTTCTCTTCGAATAAATGGAATTCGGCTGCACTATGAATAGAAGACGTATTCCCTATATTTTTCCGGTCATTAAATTTAGTATTTCTTCTGCTTAACAGAAAATTATGCATAAAAAAATATTTGTCGAGCCGAATAATTTTACTAAAATTTTAGCCAAATTTTCGTTTTTACCCGAAACATATAAATTCTCAGGGAGAATTGAAAAAAAAGTGTTTGAAAAAAAGTGGAAAATTTAAGTAGGAGAAAAGAATTCACACAAGTGGAAAAAGTACCATACGTATACTAATAAAAAACAAAACAACTTAAAAAGTAATTATAAAGTAATTTAAAAAGAATTTCTATATAAAAGCCACCAAAAAAAATTCGTAGAAAAAAAAAGTATTTTCTAAATGTTAGAAACGAAAATAATTTATTAAACCTTTGGTCTTTAAGTTAAAGAACTAATTAGTCCTCCACCCTACTTTCTCTTCAATCATCTTCGAAGAAAATTCTAAAAATAAATGTAACGAATGAAAAAAAAACCAATCCGAGAGATGAATAAGAAATTAGTTTTGTTCCATATAAAATAATGATCATTATTTTGTATATTTTATTGTTATTGTATTATTTTTCAAATAATATCTGAAATGCAAAATTTATTTGCATTATCAGAAATGAAAATAATTGCAAGTATTGTGTATATACAGTATATTCGTATATATATAAAGTGCGCGATCAAATATCAGAAAATAAATTAACTCGAGTATATGCTGGAATTACGAAACAAATTTCACTAACGAATTCCATTTGCTATCAAACCTAAATTCTACTCGTCATGTAGATGAATGCATTCGTACCTAACTAAACGTTGTGGGTTCAATTGCCGTTCTGGGTCATTCATTATTATTGCAATGAAATTCCAAAATTATTCTGCAAAATTATACACACTTGACACGAGATCATAGATTGTATTGTTTTTTTACCTGATTATCATAAATTTGTTTGTTTTTCATCATTTTCATTGTTGATTGTATTTATTTTTTAATTGCGCGCGAAAACGAAATTTCCACTTTGGAATAGTGATATAAGTTTGGTTAGATTAAAGAAAGTTTTGACTGAAGTGACTAAAAATTTTGCTAAGAGAGTGAAATTTGCGCTGCTTTTCAAAGAGAAAATAATTGTACATCTTAAGACTAAAATGATTGAAAAGTAGCCTATTTTTAAGCTTAAAACTAGATCAAGAAAATTTTAGGTCTTAAAATTTTCCTAAACTTTCGAATGTTTAAATGAAGGAAAATATTTTCATTACTTCTTTCAATTTAAATTATATTCGCAAAAATATTGTTTTTCATAATTAAAAAATTAATTTTTGACTAAATAAATGTTCAATTAGAAAATTTTTATTTTAGTCTGGTTAATCTTAAAAATATTAAAGCACAGAAAAATATTTCGTTCTTTTAAATGTTCAAAAGTTTATGAAAATGACTTAAAAAAAAATATTTTCAAGGCTAAGATTCAGTCAAAATTAATTTTAATGTAAACTATTGTCAAAAATGGACTGAAAGTAAGATTGATTTTTTATCGTGTATTTTACTTAAAAATAAATTAAAAATAGTAATTATAATAATATTTTTTCATTATATATTTATTATTTTTCTTTTTTCGCTCTTCAAAAAAAAAATATTTTTGATTTTTTTAAAACTCTATTTCAATTTTATTTTTAATATTTAGCGTTGAAATAACGATGAATATTTGTTTGCTCTAAGCAAATATATAAACGTTTTAATTTATTTCGAAATTTTATATTCAGTTTTTTACTGATTTTTTGTCGAAAAGAGTATGAAATATGCGCAATAAATTTCAACTCTTTTAAATTTTAACGAATTATTTTTTTCTTTTTTTTTAACCTAAATGTTATTTAGTATTTTTGAAAAATTTAAATTATAGGTTCTTTAAACTAGAGTTTATTTAATAAAATATGAAATAAGTGTTGAATACTTTTGAAGAATATTATAAAAGGAATTTTAATTTAAAGGAATTAAAAGTTGCATAATAAAAAAATAAAAATAAATGTCTCTGAAGTTTTCACCATTCAAATAAAATCAAAATTTTTTCCCTTTCGATATTTTGTTTTGTATTATTGCATTTTAATGAGAAATAAAAAATAAATTTTCAATTTATGAAGTAAATAATTTCTTTTTGAATGTGAAAATTAATATTTTGTACCACAAATTCAAAGTTTAAGAAAAAAGGCAAAAAAAAAATTGTTCTTGTGAACGTTCAGGACTTTATTGACAATAGAAATAAAGTAAAATTAGAAAAAATAAAATAAATTAAAAAATGAATAAAATTAAAATATTAAATAAAAAACTAAATAAATATTTTATTAGATGGATTAAAATGGTTTATAATTAAAGTAAGGAATTAAAATAAACTAAAATGGTAATAATTTATTAATTTAAGGACAGTAAATTTGAAAGATGGGTTTTTTCAATTCAGAATTTAATTCTCTCTCTCTGCTCTTGTTTTATGTAAGTCGGATAACTAATTTCATTTCAGGTTAATTATCTAATTATAATCGGTCGATTATCTAGAATCAAGGGTTGATTAATTTTGCAAAAAGGGTAATTTCGAATAGTTATCTATATATAAGACAGTTAATACAAAGTGACGGACAGTTATATTCGTGGTATTTTAATAATTTTATACGAATTTAGAGAAAATGAAATTATTTCATAAAAATTATTTTCATGCTCCAAGAAAATCTTCATAAAAAATAAAGAATTCTTTCTTAAAAAAGAACAGGTTTGACACAGGTCAGGAAATTCAGGGAAAAGTCAGGGATTTTTATTAAAGTAACTGGAAAAATTTTAATTTTGGAGAAGTTACAAATAATTGCAGAAATTCAATTATGTTCCAAAAATTAAAAAAAATATCTTGTCAAAATTCAATTATTTATAAAAATAATAAAATGCTTCTCCGAATTTCAATTATTTTCAAAAATGTTAATAAAATTCTTTGCAAAATTTCAATTATATTCAAAAAATTTTTCAAAAGAATTCAATTATTTAAAAAAAAAATGTTGAAAATTTCTAAACAAACATGAAATTATTTTAATAAGTAATACAAATTTCACAGGAATTTAACTATTAAAATTTTTTTTTATAAATTTCTTCGCAATAATTCAGTTATTTTCAAAACTAATAAAAATTTTTTTCTTACAAAAATTCAATTATTTTCATGAATAATAAAACTCATCATAGAATTTCAATTATTTTTAATACAATTGTAATTGAATTCCTCGAAAAATCTAATTATTCTTGAAAATTCTATTAAAATTCCTCGAAAAAATTCAATTTTGTTGATAAAATTCTTTATGATAATTCAATTTTGAGAAAAATTCATTTATTCAATAAAATATTTATTTTTGTATTTAAATAATTTAATTCTCATAGAATTTTCCAATAAAAATTGATTTAAAAATGAATATCTGTTAAAATTTTAAGATAATAATTGAATATTAAAAGAATAGCATGAATTCATTCAAAGAATATTAATAAAATTTTTGTAAATAATTACATTTTTCGAAAAATTTACTTAAAATTTTATTAAAAATAATTGAAATCCTTTGAAGAATTTTATTAATTTATGAAAGCAATTGAATTCTTGCAAAGAATTTTTTCAAATTTATTTTTTAAATAATTGAAATAATATAGAGAATCTTATTGTTTATGAAAATAATTAAATATTCCTGCAACGAATTTTATTACATTTTTTTTTAATTAATTGAATATCTGTGAAGAATTTTATTTTTTATGAAAAAGCAAATTTTTTATGACGAATTTTATTAAAATACTTGGAAATAATTGAACTCTTTTCAAGAATTGAATTATTTAAGAAAATAATTGAACATTTTCTAAGAATTCAATTATTTAACAAAATAATTGAACGTTTTCTAAAAATTCAATTATTTAACAAAATAATTGAATTTATGTGAAAAATTTTATTTTTGATGAAGATTATTGAATTTTTTTGAAGAATTTTTTCAAAATTTCTGTAAATAATTAAATTTTTGCTAAGAATTTTAATTATTTTTGAAAATAATTGAATTCTAATGAAGTATTTCAATTATTTTTGAAAATAATTGAATTCTTCAGAAGAATTTTATTATTTACGAAAATAATTGAATTCTTGCTATAAGAATTTTTTATATTTTACGAAAATACTTGAATTTTTGTGAAAAATTTTATTACTTGTAAAAATAATTGATTTTCCGCAACGAATTTTATTACATTTTATTTAAATAATTAAATTCTTTTGAGAACTTTTATTAAAATAGCAAATTTTGAAAATTTTTGCATTTCAGCAAAGAATTTCATTATTTGTGAAATGTACATAATTTAATTCTTGCAAGAAATTGTTGAATATAATTTCATTTTTCGAGAAATTTATTTAAAATTGAATTAAAAATAATTGAAACCCTGTGAAGAATTTTATTGTTTATGAAAATAATTGGATTCTTGCAACGAATTTTATTATAATTTTTGTAATTATAATTTAATTTTTTTTTTGCAAAATTTTATGGAAATTTAAATTTTTATAAAACATGAAGATATCAATTACTCTGAGTCTTCGACTCGGAGTGATTGATATCTTCATCTTTTATAATAATATTCTTGTAAGTTGTTGAATTTTAAAAATGTTTGAATTTGAATGTTTTGAAGAATTTTAATTCCTATATGGGAAAATAATAATTAAATACTTATTTAAAAATTTAGTTATTGATGATTGCGAATAATTTTACAATTTAAGAAATTCGTAAGTAAATGTAATAGAATGTTTTTTTGAGTATCTAATAATTTTTAGAGTGAATCAAAATTATTATTTTTAATTCAAAACTAATTTAAAATAAAATTCAAATTATTATTTTTGAATTAAAAATAATAATTTTGATTCAAATTA